ATGCTTGTGATTATCTTGCCTCAGCCTCCCCAGTGGCTACAGGGGTTACAGGCATGTGCCACCATGCCTGGCTAATTTTTCTGTATTTTTAGTAGAGACAAGGTTTCACCACGTTGGTTAGGCTGGTCATGTGTGGCCAATTGTTTTTTGAGTTTGGGTTTTTTTTGTTTTTTTTGGTTTTTTTTTGGTATTTTTAGTAGAGATGAGGTTTCACCACGTTGGCCAGACTGGTGTCGAACTCCTGATGTCAAGTGATCTGTCCACCTTGGCCTCCCAGAGTGCTGCAATTACAGGCGTGAGCCACTGACTTCCAGCCACCATTCTTAAATGTATAACTTGGACTGGCACAGGGGCTTATACCTATAATCTCAGTACTTTGGGAAGCCAGTGCAGGAGAATTGCTTGACCCCAGCACTGTGAGACCAGCCTGGGTAACATAGTGAGACCCTGTCTCTACAAAAACAAAAACAATTAGCCAGGCATGGTGGCATGGAGCCACAGCTACTTGGGAGGCTGAGGCGGGAAGGATCACTCAAGCCCAAGGAATTAAGCCTGCAGTAAGATCACACCACTGCACTCCAGTTTGGTCAGCACAGTGAGGCCCTCTCTCAAAAAAAAAAAGTTGTATAACTTGATGCATGGTTTCACAACTCAGCTCCGTGGTCCTTACAGCCAAGTGGAGGCAGTACACTGCAGCATTAAGACCAGGGCTTTCCCTTGTGGAGTCTGTCAGACTGCATTAATACCCAAGTAATTGCCATATACTGTAAGACTTGAGAATACTAAAGTTTTGATTTTAACTTTTGAAAATAATATCTTTATTAAATTAGGCCACAGGCAGAAATTACTCATACTTTTATACTAAATTTCTTTCTGGTTTACAACCTTGTTCCTCGCCCTTTTTACTTTCTTTCTTTAGGTTATCCAGACTACTACTCAGATTGCCAGCTTTAAGACTGATGAACGCTACCATCACTGAAGAATTGTTTTTCAAAGGTCTCATTGGCAACATACGAATTGACAGTGTTATCCCACATATTTTGAAAATGGAGCCTGCAGATTATAACTCTCAAATAATTGGTCACAGCATTTGAAAGCTACAACTCCAAAGCTATAAACTTAACTGTTCTTTGCCAGAACACAACATACCAAATTGAACTTACTGCTTTTGGGGCATCTGGAAATTTTTACTTTAAAAACCAAAATCCAAGGTATTTTTATTTTAGCTTCCTTAAGAATTTTTGAAGTGACTGGGCAGGCAGCAGAAATTAAATGAATTTTTCTTCCTGATTCCTTTAAATGAATAAGAAACACTACACATTGATTCTTGGTGAAGATGATATCTGAAGCTGTTACCTCTTGATTATCTAAACTAAGCTCTCATTCTATTTTATAAAACAAATAAATTAGTCCGTCTTTACTGAATTGTGTTCTAGTCATATTTAACTTCATTATGAACTAGTAAAAATAGTTAATGTCCAGAAATCCTTAATGAGGAGTTCCTTGCATTTTACTCTGCCATAATAATTTCTGTTTTAATTACCATATCAAAATAAGATTATTTTATGCTTATTGGTATAATGACTATATTAGAACTATAGGAAATAATTGAATATATATTTTTGATTTCTGTAAATATCATGGTGTCCCTTAGCAAATACCACTCTTATTGGTGGCGGTGAGATAGGCCTTTTATGATCTTAAGAGTTTCTATTTTTAATGTATATTATTAGTTACAAGCACTTTTTATTTATATAGCAGAAAATTGTTTTTGAGAATAAGCTAGTATTGATATTTTAATATTTTTAGCTTCCTGCTGTGTTGTTTTTTGTTTTCATTTATAGAAGTGGGATTTCACTGTGTTGCCCAGTCTGGTCTCAAACTCCTGGGCTCAAGTATTCCTGCCTCAGCCTCCCAAAGTACTGGGATTACGGGCGTGTGCCACTGTGCCTGGCCTACTGCTATCTTTTGAAAGTAAAGACTAGCCAGGCATGGTGTCTCATTCTTATAATCCCAGCACTTTGGGAGGCTGAGGCAGGCAGATTGCTTGAGCTCGGGAGTTCAAGACCAGCCTGGGCATTACAGTGAGACCCTGTTTCTATAAAAAGAAAGAAAGAAATAGAGACTAAGTGAGCCCAAAATGTTTCACTATTTCAAAAAAGATATTAAAATTGTTGCTCTTTCATTCCATAAAAAAGGTCTGATCTCTCTCCCACTTTTCTGACCTGAATTAGAGTTTCCCAACCCTGTCATACATGAGTTTTAGCCAGTTTTTTTTTAGGTCACTACAAAAATTCACCCAGTTTGTCAAATAATGGGTTTATCATAGCCAATCCATGTTCTCAAGGCAAGTTTAAACCTTATTTTGAAGGTATTGATAATTTTTTAAAATAAATATGTACCAATTTTTTTCACTAGAAAGGTTGCTTTAACAACAGTATAAGAATCAGCTTGAAGCCTTCTGCGACAATAAATGCATTTTAGACTCCTCAAATGTCTTTCTTTGACAGTAATTTTTTTTATTTTTTGAGATGGAGTTTTGCTTTTGTTGCCCAGGCTGGAGTGCAATGGTGCCATCTTGGCTTACAGCAACCTATGCCTCCTGGGTTCAGGCAATTCTCCTGCCTCAGCCTCCCAAGTAGCTGGGATTACAAGCATGTGCCACACGCCTGGCTAATTCTGTATTTTTAGTAGAGATGGGGTTTCTCCATGTTGGTCAGGCTGGTCTCAAATTGCCAACCTCAGGTGATCCGCCCACCTTGGTGTCCCAAAGTGCTGGGATTACAGGCATGAGGCACCATGCCCCGCCAGTAATTTATTTTTATTTTTTTAGCAAACCTGATACTGTTAACTATTTCTTTGCTCTGATTTCTTGATGAATTATTTTGGTATGTTTGTTGATTTTTTAAAACAAACTTGGATAATACATTGCACTCAGTACACTTTTTATAAAGATTTTTGCAATAGAAAAGCTGAGGTTTTTGTGGGGCTGCGTATTTTATTGCTTACTACTTTATATTAATCAAAGGTTTGAAAATATCAACTTACAGTCTTTACCAGTTTACTAAGGGAAATTTTTTCCCCTATTTAACACATGATCTTAGTCAACAATTTTATTTATAATCATCAGCTAAAGAAACTGCATTTAGTATAAAATACTCAAATGGAAAAATCAGTAGTTTTTACCTTTATAAATACAACATAGTAAGCCAAGGAATCAGGGAAATAATCCTTTAAAATAATATACTAATGGTTAATTAAAATGTTTCAGGTGTTTTTTTTTTATTAAATTTGTTGTTATAGTTGGAAGAATTTTTTAAACTATATTAAAATGTGATTTTCATTACAAATTTCTGTATCTTACCAATATATTTGTAAATATATTCATTTTCCTATTCAATGATTGCTTATCCTTCATTTGTTCCATTGTATTTTCATCTATAGCAAGTATAGATCTGCTATAAGAAAGTTCTAATAAGAATCACTACTGATATAATAGGTTTTTGGCTTTTAGGTAGGGTGATTTTAATTAAAGTACTTCCAGGAAGAGAAAAACATGGAAAACATTTCTATGTCCTATATTTTAGGATTATTTACAATTCAATTTGAAGCCTCCCAGCTAAATACTGCAATTAGCTTTTGTTTTCTTTCCTGAAATCTCAGTAAAATGTCCATAAAGTGTAACTATACTATGGCAAATGGAACAGGAGAGAAGAAATCAAAGGATAAAGTAAATTTTTGGGAAACAAAAATTTGCAGGTCGAGAAAGAATGACTGACTTAGTAGAGCCAGAACCAAAGAAGCTTGTTGAGTGACTGCAAAAGGCAATGCAATGAGAAAGAAGCCAGGATACCACACGAGGTAGGTGCTCAGAACCTTGAAGGAACCAGTGCCCAGATGCAGAGATGGTGTTTGAGATGTTAAAAAAAAAAAAAGATTGGTTGAAAGTCTGCATACAGAATAATTAAACTATCTTTCTCCAACCCTACTTAAGTCAGAAAGAGGCCAGGCATGGTGGCTTATGTCAGTAGTCCTGGCACTTTGGTAGGCCGAGTGAGGTGGATCGCTTGAGTCCAGGAGTTTGAGACCAGCCTGAGCAATATAGTAAAACCTCATCTCTACCAAAAAAAAAAAAAAATGTTAGCCAGGCATGGTATTGTGAACCTTTAGTCCCAACTACTTGGGAGGTGGCTTGAGCCTCCTCAGGAGACTGAGGTTGCAGTGAGCCAAGATCATGCCACTGCACTCCATCCTGGGTGACGGAGTCAGACCCTGTCTCAAAAAAAAAAAATCAGGTGGCCACTTTGTGTACTCCCTTTTGAAGCAGGAGGAAACCAGAGATTAATTCTTTTGAGAAACTGAACTGGAAGAGCATGGACTTAGAGGATACCAGGGATAAAATAAGGTA